CCCAAAAGTTAGAATTATATTATAATTGTTGAATATAGTCAAAAACATGAAAAACAGTTCGGAACACATTGCCCAAACACACCAATGCATGGTATCTTAAGGAAATTCACGTGCTGCATGTCAGAAGCGGGTAAAAAGGACTTTATTCAGCGAAATTCCCTGCACTTGCAGGAAATCACCCGTATGAAGATCGGTTATAAAACCCGTTGGAAACTGTTCTTTGCAATCATCAGCGTCTGCAAAACCCGCAGAACATGCCTAGATTAACTGTGGAACAGAGACAAAAAGCTATTGGAATGTTGGAGATGGGGGCAGACTAGTCACACGTTACAGACAAACTGGCAGGACAGCAGACAGGCCAAGGAGCGGTCGACCAAAAGTCACTACGCCACAAGAAGACCGTTATCTACGTACGCTTAATTTAAGGAACAGATTCCTCACTGTGATGACATCATCAGCGCATAGCCTTGGTCATCGTGTCAGCATGTGGACAGTCTCGAGACGACTCCGTGAGCGAGGAATCAGAGCCAACAGACCGTTCAAGGGCATGACGTTAACGCTGGAATATCGACGTCGAAGATTGGCATGGGCAAGACGTGTTCGTCAGTGGCAGCAACAAAACTGGCAAAGAGTCCTTTTCAGCGACGAGAGTAGGTTCCAGTTGAACAGAGCTGACGGCCGAAGACATGTCTACCGCCGGCGTGGGGAACGGGCGTAACGTTGTTGCGTTCAGGAAACGGAACCATATGGTGGAGGGAGTGTGATGGTTTGGGGAGGCATTTGTGGGAACACCAAGACTGACCTCATTTTCATCGATGGCAACCTGACAGCCCGTCGGTATATTGATGAAGTTCTGCAGCCCCATGTCCTGTCTTTCCTCCAGCAAAATCCAGGACTTGTTTCAGCAAGACAATGCCACACCACACACCGCAGCTGTCACAACGGCCTTTCTCAACGCCAACAACGTGCCCGTCCTGCCTTGGCCACCAAGATCCCCTGACATGTCTCCGATAGAACACTTGTGGGACCATCTTGGACGTCGGATTCGACAACTGCCACACCCTCTGTTGACGAGAAATGCACTGGTTCAGGCACTGCAGAGAGAATGGCCTCAGATCCCCAATCACGTGATCAGAAGACTTACACAATCGGCCCGACGACGTGTTCTGGCATGTATCGACGCTAGGGGTGGACATACGCGGTATTGACAGTCTGCATTCCAATTTCAACCTCTGTCTTTTTGTGATTTGCCGCTTTGGCTTGTGCTCGAATACTGGACAATCGCCCCCCTTGTGATAACATTGACTCTACAGCTGTTCCATTTAACATTTTCTTTTTACTTCTGTCACACATGCTTTACATACCTTTTTGTTATTCATATAAAACGCCATTATCTATTCGTGTTTGTGTTTGTGTTGTTTGTTAGTTGAAAAATGTTTGGAAAGGTTTCTTTTGCACGTGAGTTATATATATATAAGTTTCAAACATAGTACTTTCACTGTCTCATGACAGCTCTTCAGTGTAACTGACAAATGACATATGAATGACGTCATACTTATGATGACGTCATAAATTACACCTGCGACGTCATAATATATTTACACACTCCAGCGACGACACCAAGTAGTTTAACAATTGTATGATATTTGGCTATGTTAGGTCGCTATGTCTTTTTGGATTACACAATAAAGCCAATTCATGGTTACACGGTTGTGAAGAAGCTTACAACTTTATAACACTTATTCATCTCCATCACACACACACACACACACACACACACACACACACACACACACACACACACACACACACACACACACACACACACACACACGCGCGCGCGCGCACACACACACACACACCTATATATATATATATATCTAAGTGTATATAAGTGAAGGTTTCGCACATTTTGACTGTAAAAATATAAACATGATAAAATAAGCAATGCTCACTTGAAATATTGTTAAGTTAAAATAGTGTGAACGAAAATCGCACAATTTCCAAGCAAGTGACTTATCAAAACTTCTTCACCATTACCGATGCTACCCACAGAGATACCTACATTGCCTTATTATTTCCAAAAATGTATTTCATTTTGTTGATCAATGTGACCATACGCCTTACACTATCAATAAAAGTGACAAAGGCGTTTCCGAATGGCGTAGCACAGGTCGCGAACTAGTCTAGATTTCTGCTATATCATCCGGGTACTCACGGGGAAAAACAATAACAAAGGCAACAACCAGTCCTGGGGAATTGCTTTAGATCAGTGCCCCATTTAAAACGAAGATGTCCGCAATCCACAAACAATCCCTTCATTAATGGCGAACATTTACCAACCCGAGACAATCGTGTCAACCCGGGGGTTATCCTAGCAATAAACTCGCTTCTAAATTCACTACTGTTCTACTGTCGGCTAGCCACGATGGCTAGACTGGACCCTCGTGGAATGGTTCATGTCATAAAAGTCCAGCAACCGGACACTAATTAAGACGGGCCGACCTTGTGTTTATGGTCTGGTGAACACAGGTCAATGACCGCTAATTAACTCAAGATTCACATCTTCTGTTTTGTTTTTCCCACTATTCATTTGATATATTTGCAACGAGTGACACACGCGCTGCACACCCGTTGCACACGCGTGTCCAGCGGGTGCTCAACCCGTGTGCAACCCGTTGAGCACCCGTGTCACATGCGTGGTACACGCGTTTTTAACGCGTGTTAGGGGAATGAACTTCTAGGCAGTAGTGTAAATAGATGGGGCGGTCGGGTAGCCTAGTGGTTAAAGCGTTCGCTCGTCACGCCGAAGACCCGGGTTCGATTCCAGACATGGGTACAACATGTGAAGCCCATTTCTCGTGTCCCCCGCCGTGATATTGCTGGAATATTGCTAAAAGCGGCGTAAAACTAGACTCACTCACTCACTGTAAATAGATTGTTCTGTCTGTCTGTCACATAAGTACATGTCACATGAGTAAGCTTGACGCAACATGGCTAATGGTAGCCCCCGATCTGTACCATATTGATGGCCCTGTCACTATGCTAAGGTGATGATATTGTGATTGTGTATCCTTATCATAAAAATAATTGAGTACATGATTTATGGTTTAAAGTCATTTCTTACGTATTGGAACGATCAATTAACTTTTTCACAAACGGTCGTGGTGGCTGCCTTTGGTTGTAACATGTCACACTATAGGTTAATACGTATACAGATTTCTCTGCAGTATATCAGACCCCATACTGTATTTGTACTGCTGATGATCAACATGGCATGATAATAATTGTCTTGATGTTTTAGTTGAGAACATTCGGTTGACGATTGTCTTGCTTTAACAAGATATAAACTGTCAATGCTTATGTAAACCTTTGTTCGACTAGTTAGTGACGGCATTAATCAGCAGCTGCTCATCTGGTTCCAGATTCGTCTTTGGATTACCAACGTACTCATGAGTGAGCGAGTAAGGTTCAACTCCGCTTTTAGCAATATTCCATCAATATCACGGCGGGGGACACCAGAAATGGGTTTCACACATTGTACCCATGTCGGGAATCGAACCGGCGTGACGAGCGAACGCTTTAATCACTGGGCTACCCGACCGCCCCAAACATGCTCATGAGCTTCAACAAAGTGGTTATCGCCTACGACCTCCTGTCAAGATCAGTTAACTAGCACTTACTCGGCAGATATAGATAGGGTTGGTTTAAACTTGTCATCGTGCTCAGCGCATAACTAATACACCGAAAGGCAAAAGAAACGTCACTTCTGAAAATACTGATAAAACTTAACAGACACTGGCAGTTACATGTTCTGTGGTCAATAAACTCATTTATGGTTCTACTGCTTCTTTTTGCTGCCTTAAAGGTCATTTAACAATTGAGTTTAAAATGGAGTGCTTTGCCCAAACGCAGCATACAAAAGTGCAATGGGACTCAGTTGCGGAAAAGTCTTGTCAAAAACATGATGCACGTGCATATCGTGGGTGGTATGGGTATAAAAGACACCCAAAACTGTTAAGCTGGCTTTCGTTATTTCGATTCATCAGTCATGCCAAGATTATCACTGACAGGAATTGAGAGACAACAAGCGATGGGAAGACTGCAAGCAGGCCAGAGTGCACAGGTCGTTGCAAATACATTCAATGTCAACGTCAGAAAGATATATCGTTTGCAACATCGCCACAACACCACCAACACCACCGACGACCGACCGCGTAGTGGTCGTCCTAGAGTCACTACTCCCAGACAAGATCGGTTCATGATACGCCAACATCTGCAGAACCGATTCCGAATGGCCACTGAAACAGCTCGGCAAACCATTGGCAACCACCAGCGTGTCATCAGTGATCGTACAGTCCGACGTCGCCTAACTGCCAACAACATCTCGTGCCACCGTCCTGCCCATCCCGAGAGATCGTCACCGACAGGCCCGACTGCAATGGGCCAGGCAGTATCAAAATTGGCGTCAGCAGCAATGGAGAAGAATCATCTTCAGTGTTGAAAGTCGCTACTGTGTTTCAACGGTGGATGGCAGAGTCAGGGTCTGGCGAAGGAGGGGCGAACGTTATGCTGATGCTTGTGTTATGGAACGAGACCCGTGGGGCGGCCCAAGCATCATGGTTTGGGGTGGAATCGGACTGAACCAGAGAGTGGGACCTGTGGTCTTTCAGAATATTGGTCCAGGCAGGGGTAATGGCATCAGAGCTCTCCGCTACATTGACCAAGTCCTCAGACCCCATATCGTGCCTTTTTTTGCCCGTCATCAAAACCACACCTTTCAGCAAGACAACGCCCGTCCCCACACTGCCAGAGTCACCAGGGACTTCCTCCAGCAGCACAACATCCAAATCATGCCTTGGCCTGCCCTCAGTCCGGATTTGAATCCCATTGAACACTTGTGGGATGAGATCCAACGCCGACTCAACGACGTACGCCATAGGCCGACAACTGCAGCAGAACTGCGTGTAGCGTTTCTGAGGATATGGACCCAAATCCCAATGGCCTTCATCAACAGGCTAGTCAACGCCATGTACAGGAGCTGTGTGGCTGTAGTGGCCACACCAGGTACTGATTTTGAACCCCCCAGCTGTGATGTCTTCTGGTGCCTCCCCAAATTCACAATTCGCAAAAACATTCCCCAGACTGTTAATTTCATGTGGGTCGAACACTAACTTTCTCAGATGTCTTTACTTACATATATAAGCATTTGAAAATAAAGATGATATTTATATGATACATCCACATGACGTTTCTTTTGCCTTTCAGTGTATAATAAAGTATTCAGTATCACATATAATATAAGAGCCATGATGTGAAGGCTCACTTTTTACAGTATTTTGACATCATAGTTACTTTTAGTGACCTTTTTAAATTATTACATACACATCAAGGAATATGAACATTTTACACACACACACATTTGCGGGACTGCTTTCTTTGCAAACACTGGTTCTTAGAAATCACATCGGATAAGGGCTAACTACCATCAGCTTTAACTGTCTGAGAGGAAAGCACTGTGCGCCGATTGATTATATCAGAAACAACCAGTCACAGTCAGCAATGATAATGCATGTGCTTTGCATACAGACTTCATACAATCATGTTACACAATATTTATCCAATCATTAATGTATGACATTACATGATAGAAACGAAGGAGGTTCTTCTGGCATAAACGTAAGAGACGCAATGCCTGTTGCTAGGTCCTGTGATATGGCAGATACCTCCCATAGATACTAAAATAGTATAAAACCTAATGTTTACCTAGATAGATTTATTTCAGCTTCAAAGTACGTTGAAGATAAGGTGAACAATGAAGGGTCCTTGCATATTCGCAGGTTAGTTTAACTGTTGGCCTGATTAAATGAAACAACTTGCTCGTTTCATCGACAGAGAATTCATTGCAACGTGCTCTTGTATTTCACGCAAAAATACTAGTATTTTGTTGAAGTATAAAAGCCTAGTATGTCACACACGATAATAGTGATAGGGTTTATTCATTCGTACCTGTTGTAAGCAGTTTCCGATGTGCTGCTGCTGCCGACGCCTGCTCTGCTGACAGCGATTGTAATGAACATGGCACATGTACAGGAACCACACCAGGCAAAGTATGCACATGTACAGATGGGTATGCTGGCACAGCCTGCAATGACGGTAGGAACATGTCATAAATATAATTTACGGTAATCAAATGTTGTGTGACAATAACAACGACTCTAGGCAATAGATATTACTACAAGGTCAATGTTAAGTAATGGTGTTTGATATATTCAGCGCTGACATATCGTCACGTGGAACACAACGAAAAATGTTCTGCTCATGTTAAATTAGCACATTTATTATGTGGATGACACAACCCATACTTTTGGTTACTTAACCATTGGTGTGATATTGCCGTTAGCAGATTTAACGTCTAAAGTGGGAATGTATTTACCTGAAGACGCCCTAGATTTTCGCAACGACTCACAATTTACAGAAGGGTTCAATATGCTTTCAACTCGGTATGGCAAAGACAAAGGCAGGTCAAGCAACCATGGATATAGGTTATTAGATCTGTGAAAAAATTCCAACTTTTATTTGGTAAATGGAAGAATATGCGACGATAAATACATTGGAAATGTAACAAATGAGAACGTTAGTGGTATCGACTATGCCATCGCCAGTAGAGGAAAACTTAGTAGTTCATGACAACAATAGCATTTACCTCCCAATTTCAAAGGAAAGCGATGAAGCGCGAGCGAGTGTACAATGGAGGGGGGTACTTGAATGTGCGTTAGACCGTTGCAACCTCCCTAATGATGTGGTAACAATGGGGACAAAGGATGGTATTGATACAAGCGGAGTGAAGGTGTTGACACAGGTGCTCGTCGTCTGCTAGCGGTTTCCCGTTCGTCGTCTGCTACCCCGTTTTCAACGGGTTAGATGCGAATAAGAAAAAAGTTCGTCTGCTTTAGGATAGTCGTCTGTTGGTTTTTGCGACTGAGGATGGTTGTTGTAAGTGTCTTCCTGAGCTTGAAGAAGTTAGACGATGGGGAACTAAGCGACCGACCGCCTATAACAATGTCAACATACCCCGGCCTTACAATTAATGTCAAAATACCAGCCTCGCCTGAAGCTTCCCATTCATAAATTGTGTGACCAGTGTCCCGTATTTATGATATGTTAGGGAAGATGTGTTGTACATTTGTTATTTTAAAAGGGAATTATTTCAGAGAGGATATATATGGGTATTCCCCTCATTAAACCTTTCTTTCGTTGGTGTCTATTAAACGTATCCGGTATTTAATACATTTGAATGATGTAGGAAAGTATGTGCGTGTAGATGTTGTATCTATATCCGAACACGAATGTATGACACCTTTCAATAGATCAATTACGGTTCTAACCACGACACGCAACATGACTATGAGCGTGGTTAGCAGTTCATATTTATAAACACATCGTAAATGACAGATTTCTAATGAATGAACTCGCCCGCACACATGTCTGTAGGGTTATGTTCGCCCGAACTGTAAACAGTGACACATTGATAACAGGAAGGGTGTGTGGAATGCACTCGTCCTTGTAATGGTAAAATACGCGTTTAAACTCACCATTTAAATGATGACATTACTTTTTAGATGTATTGGTGTCAGTGAGTGAGTGAATTTAGTTTTACGCCACACTCGGCATTATTCCAGCTCTAGGACGGTTGTCTGTCAATAAACGAGCTTGGACCAGACAATCCAGTGATCAACAACATGAGCAGCGATCTGTGCAACTAGGAACCGATGGCACGAGTCGGCGAGACTGACCAACCGATCCCCGTCAGTCGCCGATAAGTATGGGTTACTGAAGGTCGATTCTATAACCCGGACCTTCACGGGTGTAGTATGACGAAGACTATATACTAATATGATCAGTTTGCTGAGGTATTTTCTCGTCAATTCCTTAGATTCGACCAAAATATTTCTTTTGAAAAAAACAACAACAATATAAAACATATATTTCGTAACGGATTAACATGAACATTCTAATTGATGGATTACATTGTGAAGTAAAACTACACAGTAACTGTTAATACTGATAGAAACATTCACTGTTTATAATTTAAGGCGACAATCCTTTGATAAAACAGCGTTAGCTTAATCGATTAGATATAGAATACAATGTAGGAACATACACATTTTCTTACCATTTGTCTGCCCATTGTTGTATTTAATTTAGAGATTTTTGGATTAAGTTTTCTGCCATTTTAATGCTTTTAGTGCGGATCCATAGGGCTCCATCATCCGCGAATTTTGAAGTGTTTAGTTTAGGGGATAAGCCCTCGAATAGATCATTTATCATTATATTGAAGAGGGTTGGGCTGAGAATGCTGCCCTGGGGAGTGCCATTTTCTAGGGGACACTGGTCCGATAGCGATAGCTTAAAACCGACTGACTGATATAGAAGATTTAACGTGCGCTTTCCGACTGCAGCGTATTTCGCACACGGGCCTGGCCAGGCCATTTAGTGTATTCCGAGAAGGGTGAAAGTGGTGTGTGCAACCCAAGAGGGGGCTTTTAGGGGTTGCTTATATCGATTTTTGAAATTTTAAAATTTGGAATAAATGCCGAGGTGGGTGGAGGAGGGAACTAAGGGAGCCGGGTGAGGTGGGTGTTTGTATGTTTATTGGATTTTGGATTGGTAGATTAATTAGTTTTTAGATGCGCTTAATTAGGCCTGTTTTGATTAGGAATACGCCTAGGGCCTTGAAGTTTTCTAGTTTATTTTGAGGGTTTAGTATTTCATCCAGAGTAGGAACCTTATTTAGATTGGTTTGTAGTGTGGTTCTGTGTGTTTGGTAGTGGGTGCAGTGGATGAGTGCGTGTTCTGTGGTTTCGGGTTGTTTGCAGTGGGGGCAGTTGCCTGTGGTGTGTCTTTTAAGTTGTTTTAGGTGGTTATTTAGGTTCGTGTGTCCTGTTTGGAGTTTTGTAATTAATCTGTCAATTTTTTTAGAGGGGTGTAGGATTTTAGGTTTGGCTAGTGGTTTTCTGAGCACTTTTTGGATTTGGCTATTTGAGTTTTGATATTGATTATGCCATTTTTTGGTTATTTTTTGTTTGTTTACACTTTTAATTTCTGATTTTGAGATGGGTAGGTTTAGGCTTATTTCTGGTATTTTGAGAGATAATTTAGCTGCTTTATCGGCGCTTTCGTTGCCGTAAATTCCTACGTGGGCGGGGATCCACAAGAAGGTTATTTGTTTGCCTGCTTTTGTTAGGTCGTTGGAGCTTTTAAGTATTTGGTTTATTAATTTAGGTCGTTTTTTTGTATTTTTGTTTTGGAGGGCTTGTAGCCCACTAAGCGAGTCAGTGAGAATTAGGATTCTTTTGTTGTTTTTTGATTGTTGGTTATGCAGGGCTGAGGCCATGCCCATGCTTAAAACCTGCCTACAGTATGTATTTAACAAAAATTGTAAACAATAAAAAGGAATGTGATTGGTTGATACACGATTGGTTGTGTCCTAAGCTAAATGGATGGCTAGACAGAGGGGAATACTAAATCCTGTTTATCCTGTTGGACTGGCACTAATCTTGTTGACATATTTACTGGATGCATTGAAAGAGATTAGGGTGTCACTATAGATGAGCTTGTGTGGGGGCTAATCCTTAATGCCCTATAGACGAGCTTGTATGGGGGCTAATCCTTAATGAGTCTGAATTGAGAGTAATGTTATTCTAATATACCCCGGTAGGTGATGAAAGATATACTTAAATAAATATCCTTTGTCTGGGAGATGGGATCTTGATACCTTAGGCTAGCATTTATCTAAAAGCTTCAAATCAATTAAACTATGTAGACGTAACTCTTGTCTTATTGAATAGTATGTCTAGAAGACGCGCTCACATTACCTTATCACTAGAAGCACTACAAGTAGAAACGGGAGAACTCCCATTGAAACTAAGACGAGAGCAGGCAATATTATCGTTCTGGGGACGAACATCAAACCCTTTGGTTAAAAAGATATGGCAAGACAAAAACGCTCGAGATGAGGCCCTAGCTCGAAAAAAATCCCTCACTAAAGCCATCTGGGATATTAGTACGTGAACTCATTCGAAGTCACAATTGCGATGACATTCAGCCTCCAGAAAGTCACTACAAAGGGTTACACCCTCCCTGGACTTTACAAAC